CTCCTGGTGGTCTACTGCTGGAAACTCTTCCGGGGCTTCAGGCCAAGCAATTCGTGCCATCTTTTCTACCTTCGTTCCGTATTGTAGCACAAATTTGTTGGAGCCTTGGGTACGCACTTTCAGTTATAGACTTGTAGACTGTATAAGCACTCTTTTTGACTTGTTTCAAATATTGGCTGCCATATCTTAGTTCTAGAGCCGATACTATAGTCTCATAATTTTTTGTGCAGTCCCTGGGATGTTTTGGGAGGATTTCAACAGCTTTATCCCAAAGAGCTAATATGGGAGCTGTTGCTTTCTGTTAATTTTACCACCCATTATTTTGTGCAGCGGCTTCGAATTGCTTTCTATACACTAGTCAAGAAGTCTCGACATTAAATGTAGGAGGCGTAATTCTGTTGACAGGGGAACAAATCACTTCTGGTTTACCTTCAACTTTTAGTTGCTTTTTTCAGATATTTTCAGTCCTCTTGTTACTTCAGCTTCTTTAATCATGTCTTCTTATTTTTTTAACGACGTCTTTCTTCAGATTCCTTTTCTTTCTGGCAACGTCTATCTCTTTAGCTTACTTTTCTTCCTGACGACATCTCTATTCAGCACAATTTTTATTCTCTTCGATGTTGTTCCATTGCGGCAATAATATTTCGAATTTTCTACATCTTGGCGTCGCTTCTTATTTTGACCATACAAATTCTCGAAACAAAAAAAGAATATCACAAATTCTAATTACATTAATAATTATAGCTTACAATTCAGATTGATATCGCTTACAAAACAATTCGTCAATACTAATACTCAAGGGTCGCCTCGATGGCTTATATAATGAAAACAAATGTTCTAGAAATAGCGAGCGAGCGACGCGACGGTCGAATACTGCACAAAAAAATCCGAAATCCTCGAACGTCGTGATAAAAAGGTGAGTTCGGTTTCTGGAATTATTCTAAATCACATGGTCGCAATCAGTCGTTGTCACTTACAACAATATTTTTAGAGAAAACGCATTTTATAATTTTTTATGGTATAATTTGCGGTTAAACCTTGAACGATAATATATTTAGAACACAACCCTAATAACTTAAGGGGTTAGGTAACAATTAGTTCAACCCGTTTTATAAATTTTTTATAGTACAGTATTTTTGAGTATTCCTGTTCTCCTTTTTGAAGCGAAGCTTCTATACTGCCGTTGTATTAATTTTTCTCTAAAGTAAAATGCTGAGACGATCGTCACGAAATTAGTGACACGAAATATTTGGAAGATTCTATTTATTCGTCGGAAGAAATCCGTTATACATGTAAACTTTTTTAATTTTATTAACATCTATAACAAGGGTATTAACTAGCAGCGGTTTTATGTACTTCTGAATGTACAAAAATTGTCAAAATAAATAAATAAACTTTGTAAATCGATGATTGTAAATAAAATCGTCAAATAAAAAAAATAATAAATAAATAATAAAATTAATTTACTCAATTTTAAAAATTTAAAAATACAGAGTATGAAGCTTCAATCTACAGTAAGTACAGTATGAAGTCTACATTATCGCCTACTGTACCACTTTTTTTCAGTAATATTAACAAATTCAGCTTCAAGAAATTAAATTATATATTAGTATTCAATTGGTTAGCATACCTAATAAATAATAAATCGTAAGGCACTTGAAGTTAAATAATAATTTTTTTTAAAATATTTCGATCAGAGCTAAAAACATAACATATGATAAATACTGAAGTTAGTTGCAACATTGTAGGACACTGTATCCTCTATAAATATATGCAAAGTGTATACAGAGACACTCTAATAGCCATTATGACTTTTATATACAATAGGACACCTTCCATCCATCCATCCAATGGCACTGCAGCCCAAATCGGGCCTTGGCCTCCTTCAACAAGCTTCTCCAATCATTTCGATTTACTACTGTTCTTTTCCATGAACGTGTTCCCAGGTAGTTCCTGGCATCCTCATCGACTTCGTCTTCCCATCTCGTTTTTGGTCTTCAAACAGGTCTTTTTCCCTGCATTCTTGCATTTAGTAATTTTCTGGAGATTCTATTCATGCATGCATTCATTCATGCATGCGGACCACATGCCCTGGCCACCTTAATTTCTGCAGTTTAGTGTATTGTGCTAGAGTTGGTTCGCTATATTGTTCGTATATTTCTCTATTATACCTAATTCGCCAGTTGTTTTCACTTATTGGGCCCAGTATCCTAAGTAATATTTTTCTTTCAAGCACATCTAATGCATTGGCAGATTTCTGTGTCACCACCCATGTTTCACAACCATAACTTACTATGGGCTTGATGATTGTTTTATAGACCCAGAGTTTTGTTTTCCAGTGTACATCTCGCAATTTGAATAGGTGGCCCATCGCGAAATAGGCTTTATTTGCCAGCACAAGCCTTCTATTTATTTCCGGTTGTTCTTCATTGCTTGTGACCAGATCCATTCCTAGGTATGTGAATCTATTCACATGTTCTATATTATCAATAAAGTGTCGTTGCGCCAGTCTATTTGATATGGTTTATATGAGTAGTTTTGTTTTATTTGTATTTATTGCTAGCCCTACTGTTTCTGCGCTCTCTTTCAACTCAATGTAGGTTTCTTCTGATGCATTCACTGTTCTGCTCAATATGTTTATATCATCTGCGTATGCTGCTAATTGGGTAGATTTGTTTGTAAGTATGTTATTTCCGCTCACCGTCAACCGTCAAATTACATATTCAAGAACAAGACTAAAGAGCGTTGGAGCCAGTCCGTCGCCTTTCAATCGTTTCAGTCCTTGTATTATCGTAAACGCATCAGTGATCTGTCCTTGAATACATACTGGCTTCTGCTTCGGTCATTATAATTTGCACTAGTCGCATTAATTTTGATGGTATGCCGATATACCCTTGATATGTAATTAATAGGACACCTTATCAGCTAATAATCTGAGGAAACTCCATTGATTATTAAATATACAAATATTATTTTTTTCTTCTAAAACATTTTTGAAATATATTACTCACATAGAGTAGTACTTGGATAAGAAAAAAAAGGTTGATCTCACTGTTTTTTAAAAATCAGACACTCTATATATGTGGTGAGTGTAAAGATACTCCAATGATAGTGGCATCTTGCATATACATATATGCAAGAAGAGTTTGCAATTCTTGTTGGTGTTTCAGAAGGCCATTGGCATTCCACTGTAAAATTCTTAGGTCGCTGGCCATTTTTGATTTTAGGAATTGGTCCTTTTGTGTGCTTTCCGAAATTTGTAATTTGTGTATCTAGCTTTTCTAGTTTTTTTAAAATAAGGTTAAGTGTTAGATGTTCTATAACTTTGATTATTTTTTGCAGTCTTATTTGTAATAGTTTGTCCTGCAATAACCAGACTGTATTGTCTTTATCTTCTGCATAACTATTATTAGTTTGGGTTTGCTAGAGTTTTTTTTACTAGTTGGGCTCTCTTTGCAGTTGATCCGGCAACATAGGTTTTCTGATTTGCTTGTTTTTAATTGAAATTCCTAATGGTTCGTAAAAACCTTGCATTCTTAGTGTATAAATATCTATTATTTGTAGGTAGTTATAATGCAATTGCGATTGATTAATTTTAATTTAGAAAATATTATTTTAATTGAGAAAATATTTGTAATTTGACAGATTCATCTTACTTCAGTGGTCTTTAATATCAAATCTGCCAAAAGATGTGTAATGGACATTAACAAAAAAACAATAGTTATGTAGGACATGACTAGTGGAACTTACTTGTGAGTTTATCATGTGTGAGATATTTCTGGTGATTTATGAAGGTGACTAAAACTGATATTAATAAGGCATGACAGTAGAACAATAATGGGTTAAAACACATATTTGATGGTACCTACTGGTAAATTTTCCACTATATAGATGTAGTATTAAATTAAAATACCATGATTAAAATTATTGAAATGGAATGTTATAATTTAACAATAACAAACAGTATCAACAAAAATGAAACAAAAAGAATGAGGGGACTTTTATGTGAAAAAAGTTTTTGTCCCAAATTATGTAGTATTAATTCTACAAGAGTTGTAGAACTAAAATGCCTTACATACAATATTTTAAATCATCTTGTCTTCTTTGTTTTAAATTAATAACTAAAACAGATATTTGTAGCCAATAACATTCCAATGATTATACTGGTAGATAGTCACACTATTGGATCATGGACAATTTTGCCCTTGGGTTATTCATTATCAAACTATATTATATTTAGAGATAAAAGCCCTATCTAGTTGCCAGACTAATTAATATTTGTGTCATTATATCTTTTATTTGATCTGGTAAATGTGTATGTAACATACAATAAGACTTGTAAATAAAGATAAAAACCTCTTTGTTTAAGGGATATATAAATTAAAATGGCTATTATTGAAAAACTTTTCATGGGAATACGTATTTAAGCAAGATTTAAATTACTCACCTTTGTTTGGCGTTTCTGTACCACTTTCTTCCAATTTTATCAGCATGTTGTTGAAGTTCTGCATAATCCATGTTTATTTACAGATATATTTAATTACCCACTACTTTATAAGTCACTATTAAATATTTTCAATAAAATATGTAATTATTATAATAAATCGTTAGCGAAATGTTTTATATCCCCGTTCAAAATATTTCAAAAATAAATCACGATCCAAATAATTTATGAAATCTGACACTTAAGTAAGACCTCCGGTGTTTAGTTTTTTAGAGAAAATTGACAGTTGACTTAACAGATAACACATGAACATGAAAATATGTCTAAATTCTTTGATATGTATACGCAACCGTTAAGAAGTTAATATTAGGAAACAATTCAGTGTCAAAGTTTGGAAAAACTATTTCAGGTAAAATCCCATAAATTAAGATAAAATTTACAGTCTGAATAATAAACTATAATTAAGAAACTATTATATTCGACTGTGATGGTCCACAAAAATGATTTTATGAATTATAATCATGCAGCCACATACAAACTGTCAAAATGTCAAAACATATGTCATGAAAAGAAATTCATGTGTCATTTTAAATTTTTATAAAGAGAAATTAAGATCATTTGGCAATGACTTTTCAAATAAATTAATATCTCAAATAATTAATTCCTGACAGGTAATATAAAGAAATATTTTATTTTATATTTTATTTAACATATACTACGTAATACGGTAGAGTGCTTTGTGCGTTGTTTGTTGGGTGCTAAGGATTTCATTGCTTTTTGATGATAACTGTTGAAATTTATCTATCCCCCAGCTACCTGTAAAATAGTTTAAACGCATGTAAAACGGTGCTATCAATATTGTGACATCCATAAAAATTAATTTAGATATTTTGAATACTGAGAAAGCACTCTACAAGCAGACCCATGGAGCATTTATTAAAACAAGGCTGCTAAAATAAATTGTATTTGTTTCAGAACCCTCTTATAGATGATTTTGTCCTAATAGGGTTCAATTGTTTAAACTCAAGTGATTACCAAAGATAAGCCCTCTTTTAGATTTGGTGAGCTTTGGACTTGGGGAGCCAATAGGTATTAGTCATCTTGGTGAGGTGTTAGAAGTTTTTCCTTTACAATGGAGCGTGAATTTAACCCCATGCAAGCTTTGTGCGGCTCTGGATGTGGATTTTATGGCAACCCTGCCACTGAAGGACTATGTTCACTATGTTTCAAGGTAATTTACTATATGATTTTCATAAATTTTATTAGCTAAGTTTTAAAAGCTTTATTACTTGGCATATTTAAATAATTTATTTATTCTCTTCTTTGATTCTAATTGCTAATAATGGTACTCAACTTTGAGTAAAAGAGCCAAAATTAATTCATGACTAAAGTGAATAAAAAAGCGAAACCAGTAAAAATATTAAAATTTCTATAACATAAAACTAAGAATTGACATATTGCTTGCTATTATTTCAGTTATTGAAAAAAACACTAAGCATAATGAGAGTTACAAGGTTTTACTATGTTTTAAGTTATTTGTATTTTAGGAAAACCTAAAAAAGAAACAACAGTTACCCAACACCCCCACAAGTCTGAGTGCCCTAAAAGATACAACAACAGCACAGCCTACCATTAGTCCTATTTCATCACCAGTAGTCACAGATCTTCCCACAGATGTAAGTAAAAATGATACTTTTATTCTACTTAGTTGTCTTTGTTGAGCTATGTCTTCAATGAAATACCCAAATGATACTTTTTACTTGGTAAAAATGTTAATTTGCATAAGATATGTTTTAACCCTTTCAGTCACTGTGTAGTTAATTGACGACATAAGAGTTTTATCTTCATTTCAGTAAATATTACAGTCACAATGTTGTCAATTGACAATTTGACAATACCTATATACCCATTTACGAAGAATAACCTCTTTTTTTTAATACCTATTTTAATAAAAAAAATCCTAATATTCCTACCAAAAGACATTAAGAATACCATAACTGGGAATAGTTTAGAATTATTAACAAAATATATTTCATTACACTAAAAAAAAAAGTGTGACTGAAAGGATTAAGTTAAGTAAAAAGATGATGTAACAGTGATGTAGAGCAATGGTTACTTTTATGGTTGTGTATATCACTCATTTATTGAAAACCACATGAGCAAAGCATGTTAGTTATTTATTGTCTTTACTTGTTTTAATTTTAACTGTTCAAACTTTGTGACATGTTATGGCCAGTATATTAAAACTATGATTTGATAGGAATTTAATAATATACATTGTCTAGCACATTTTTGTAACTCAAGTCTTATTTAACAATAAAACACTCAAAACTTTTCCTTTCAACACTTCCACAAAATTTATTATAAATTTAATTATCATCACTACAGCTGTTTTGGCAGAGTACCCTTTCTCAAGTATTCTATTTTTGGTATGTGTTTGAACTTGACAACAACTGTTTGTCTCAAGTTGGTCATTCAGAATTATTGTGTCTGTATTTTTTAATTAATTAATTTCTGTAGATCTAATAAAGATAGCTAAGGCCTTTATTTTGAATGTGAAGAATTTGAAATTCATCATTAACAGAATTATTATGGTCTAGAAGGTGAAGTGTGTATGTAGAATCTGTTTTTTTATTATTGAAGCCCTTTTATGTTCTACTATAAGTTTGTGAAAAGTTCTATCAGTTTGACTAATGTAAGCTTTTGGACAGTCACCACATTTAAGTTGTGTACACCACTGTGTAGGTGCTTTTTCGTTTAGCTCTTGTTGTTCTTACTTTTTTGCCTATTTTTGTTAATATCTTTTTCACTGGTAGCGGAAATACTAATCTCAGGTCTTTCCTATGTAGTTTTTGTTTTAAAATTTTATTTAGTGTTTTTTTGTTGTACCCATTGTTTACTGCTATTTGCTTAATGATATTCAATTCTATCTCGAAGTTTGACATGGAAATTTCTATTAATCTATGTAACATGCTATGGTATGCTGCCAATTCATGTTGTGTACTCATGTTTGTTTTTAGGTCTGATAATTTTTAAATCTAGAAAATTTATCCATTGATTTCTGTTCTGTTTCTATTGTGAATTCAATATAACTATGGACTACGGAGTGAATTAATATACAATAAGAATTAGTCAAGTTGTCTGTTAGTTCCTGTAAAACTTAGCAGTACATAATCTATTTACTTCCACCAATATAAAAACTGTGTGAATATGGGATGTTTTGAAATATTTGTTTCTAAATGATCCATAAGAATATCTGATAGCATTGGACTCAGGGGGTGATTAAGTTGAAAGTAGTCCTGGTTTTTAATATTTTCAAGAAGATATAAAATTTCAGGTGTAATGATTTAATTTGTAATATGGTCTAAAAGGTTTTTTACTAGAACAAAAGTTACTGTAGGAGGATTACTAGGAAAAAGATTTGTGACTTCAAATGAAATTAATTTGGGGTTGTTAGGTAATTTAAAATGTCATATTTTATTAACTAGTTCCATTGTATTTTTTTACAGTAAATTGAAATAAATATTTAGTGTGTTATAAAATAATCTAATAAGCAGTTTTTTTAAAAGTTTATATGATGGAGCTGTATAAAAAGAAATTAGAGGTCTTATTTATTGATCAATTTTAAGTAGTTTAATGAAAGAGTATAATTCAGGAGGCTGCGGGTTCATGATATTGAAATATTTCTGATCTATTGAACTTAATATTGATTTTGAATTTTCTAAAGACAATTTAATTTGTTTTCGATACATTTCCACTGGAACTTTGTTTATTGTTTCAATATTTTGATTATTTAAAAATTCTATTATTTTGTTAATCTATAGCAATTGTAGTGTTACCTTTGTCTGCTTTTGTAAACACTATGTTGTTTTCTATTGATTTATTTTTAATTGAAATTGTTGTTTTTCTTTGTAACAGGACTTTTTAGTTTCACTACACACATCAGTAATAAATTTTGCAATGACACTTTTTTCGATATTGGTAGCAGTTTTGTCTGGCAGCCTACCATAGCATGCTGCATAGATTAATAGAAATTCCCATGTCAAACTTTGAAAAAGAACAGAAAGAGACAGAATGATTCTGTCTCCGGTTTCTATATAACATGTAGCTTCTCCTTTTTAATAAATTTTAAAGTGTTTGTTTGTCTTTGTGTACTGTATTTTTATGTCCAATTTTACATTTATGACATTCTACTCATGTCGGATAGGCCACAACTGACGAAATGCCCCTGAAGATGATCTATTGATCGAAAGTACTTGGGCAAGATTTAATTAATCACTGTGTTCGATAGTTGCCTTGTATACTATCAAAGTTTGATCTATTTTAGGCATGAGTTTACAATTTATAGTCTCTAATGAAATAGGTTGAGGAGGGGGGAACTGTTTGTCTCAAGTTGGTCATTCAGAATTATATCTGTGTTTTTTAATTTGTTGATTTCCATAGATTCTAACAAAGATAGCTTAAGGCCTTTATTTTGAATGTGAAGAATTTTAAATTTGTCATTAAAAGAATGATTATGATCTAGAAGGTGAAGTGTGTATGTCGAATCTTTTTTTTTATTATTGAAAGCCCTTTTATGTTCTGCTATTCGTTTATTAAAGTTTCTACCAGTTTGACCAATGTAAGTTTTTAGGCAGTCGCCACGTTGAAGTTTGTACACACCACTATTTAAGTGTTTTTCATTTTGGCCCTTGTTATTTTTAATATATTTGCCTAGGTTGTTATTTGTTCGGAAAGCTGGTGTTATTCCTTTCTTTTTTATGTGTTTGGCTATTTTTGTTGTTATTTTGCCTGTATATGTAATTGAGCAGAAGGTACTGGGTTTTTTCTCTGTTGGTGGAAATACTAATTTCAGGGCTTTCTTGTGTAGTTTTTGATTTATTATTTATTGTATACCAAACCTGTCAGTTAGAGTTTAAAATATCTAACATAATTTTTCCCAAACATTCATGTTCATAAGTATTCATGAAATACGGAAACAAAAGTTATCCATAGAAAAGGCTTTAAAAATAATTCTAAAAATTTCAGACAATAAATGTTAGTGATATTTCCTTCATTTTCCAAAGAAAGGCATTATAGTTGTTTTTATCACCAAGGGAGAAGTTTTGGCCTGTAATAGTATTGTTTTCTATATTATTGGCCTGTAATAAATTTCTAATTTTTTTTTCTATTAGATATAATAATTGTAAATGGATGCTAGAATCCTAATTGAATGATTTGAATACATCTCAATACTATCAATAACAGAGATTACTGATACATAAAAAATAAATATGTACATAAATACTGTTCTTTATGTAGCAACCACTCAAAAGGCCATTGGCCCTAGTATTTCAGCCTATTATTACAAAGTTTTATGTCAGTTATATACAAATTGCATGTATTATCAAAATCTTATAATAAAAAATATTTGTAGTGATTCAATTGGATAAATAATGAAAAATCTATAAATGTAGAGTAAACTTTGTCCTTCCATCCTTTATGGATGTTGGCAATCACGTTTGTCCATACAACTTTGTTGACAGCTGCTCTAAATAGATGTATGGTAGTCATTCCTGTCACTCTCTGATGTTCTTCAACCACGATGCCCTTCTGCGCTCTTGAGATCTTTTGCCTTCTATCTTGCATTGTAAAATTAGTTGAATTAGTTGATACTTCTCATTGCGCATCACATGCCCAAAGTACGTAATCTTTCTGATTTTCACGATACACATAACTTCCAGATCTTTATTCATGCATTGGATCATGGTGTTTGTAACAGATGGATATAGTAGCACCACATTTCAAAGGCTTCTAATCGTTTGGATGTTGCCTCTGTCAAGGTCCTGGCTTTGACTCCATATAAAAGGGTAGAAAATACATATCATCTCAAGACTCGTGTTCTTGTATCAATGTTCAGGCGATTGAAGACAGCTCTCTCTTTTCTATATGACATCTTAATTCCTGTAAGTAGTCCCATTCCTTATTTAGACTGCATCCAAGATATGTAATTTGGTCGACTATCTTCAATGGTTCATTATTAGCTGTAAATTGGTGCTGTATTACGTCGTTTTTACTTACGTCGCACTTATTATAAGAATTTTTGGTCCTCTTATAGTTTAATTTCATGCCATATCTGTCACAGGCTTCCACTACACCGTCTATTAATGTTTGCAGATCCTCCGCATTATCAACAATCAAAACCGTATCATCCGCATATCTTAAATTGTTTATGATTTTACCATTGATTTTTATACCTTCTCTTAAACCATCAATAGCTTCCCTGAACAGTATTCCCGAGTAAGTATTGAACAACATCGGTGACAAAATGCAGCCCTGACGTACTCCCCGTTTTATCGTGACTTCTTGTGAGGTTTTGTTGTCTACTCGTACAGTTGCCCTTTGCTGTAAGTATAAATTTTTAATTAGGCGTAAATCTTTGTAATCAATACTAGATTCTTTCCGTATCTGAAATAATTTGGTTTACCACCTCCAACATTTGGTTTAAACATTCCCATACAGTGTCCTCTAGATCAGGGTTGTCCAACTGGTGGCCCGCGACGCTATTTGTTGTGACCCACGTAATATTTTCGAAAAGCATATATTTTCTTTAAATGCTGCCACTGTGAAAAAAGATTTTTTAATTTGTTTTAATTTTATGATTTAGCAGCTTTTTTACATCACAAGTACTGTACCG